TGCCCCAAAGATCCTGTACATTTAGGGGGTTACATGGCTCTGTGTCTTAAGATTTCTCACTTTAACATAACCTATCATTAAACTATTTTACCCATTTTAAAGACATTATGGGAAGATATACTCAGAAGCGAAATAAACCAGACACACATGTGTAAATATCGTATAGTTTCTCTAGTATAAGAACTAATACAAATAGAAAGGTATAATACAAGTAAAAGGAAAGCAGGAACTCGAGGACTAACTAATTAAAAGAGGGAAAGGAGAAGCGCTAGGAAACATGACAGTGACAAGCCATATAGTTATATGTACAAGATGGGCAAGGCAATGATCCTGAGAATCTCCAGAAGATTTTTAAATCTAGCAGTTAATTGGAAAGCTTCTCATCCTGACTAGCTATATATACTGACACCTGTGAACTAAGAAACTGCACTGAAGATGGCAATTTGTCATAGTAGGTTCATGCTTGGAGTGCCTGTCATTCTGGTCTTCTGAATACCGGCTGCTTGTCATGACATGCCAGTTGCTGCTGTGCTGTCTGTCGGGTAGATGATTGTTCAAAAAGAAAGGGGTGCTTAATGAAGGCAGGAGATAGGAAAAGGAATGTTGTGGGACTGTCCTGCTTCAAGGTTGTATATGGTTAGATTTCTGGACTGATGTGTAAACATAAGAATTATATAATTCTTTATGACTATTTTTAAAATATATTCTAGTTTTTAAATGTTTTTTCATCATATTCTATAGGGATTTAAAGTTCAACATATCAATACTGGATGAAAAATACCTCTTCCATGTTATGTCTACGATGTTTGATATTCAGACAGATAGTGAGGTTAAGCATAACAGCCTAGGTTGTATGGTAATAACAACAAGCTTGTCTTCTGGATGGTTAACAACCTAAGTTTGCAGACCAAAATTAGAGAAAAAAGAGGGCTGCAAGGAAAGCCAACATTTTTGCCCTAGCCTTCCAAGGTCAATTAAGACTCAGGACGTATGAGAACTTGTACTGTAACGTCATGTAACTCAGTAGTGTCCCAAATTTTCTGACCAAAGAGATTATGAAGCCAAAGAGGAAAGTGATCAATGATATAGAGTGTGCCTAAGGAGGGTCACATGGAGAGAAAACAGTCTCTCAGGCTTTCACAGAGAGCACATTGGCCAAGCAATGGCCGTGACTCATCCACATGGCTGACACTGACAAAAGATCTACAATCTGAGGTACAGGATCTCAGCAAAAATCCTGAGGGCATTTCACTGACCTTATCAGACCCAAAAGCTACAACTCTTGTTGCATAGGTCCTGCTTTACCTTGGTCTTAACCATCCAGCAGAAAAGTTTAAAAACAATGTGTAAGAAGTAAAGCCATGCTGTTCTGTTGAGCTGTAGGGGACTCAGCTCAATGATTTCTGACATTGCCAGTGAAGCGGAAGACCCAACACTATTATGGACTATTGGATTCTGTTAGAGTATTTTGCTGAGTTAACACACCTATAATATTCAAATAATGGAACTAAACAAAAAAGGGGATACAGATGAATGTCCATTTTGTATCTGTGTATTCAAAATGGTTAGGATAGATATATAGTTACATTCTCTTAATGAATAGAGGGATTTGTTCTAATGGTGTTTGTAAATAGGATATCATGTCTGCATCTTGTACAGCAATTAACCACTAGGAAGAATGTATGCAATGTGTTAATTATTGAAATTGTCCTACCAATTTGGTTTGAAACTGTCTCATTGCTATTTGTTTCTCAATAAAATTATGGAAAAAATATGACATCTACAATAAAAAAGACATTATGGAATATTCTTTCTACCATGAAAGGAGGGAAATGGTTCCAGCCTTGTGTCCTAAGAGTGAGATTAAAAATTTATGGGAAACCTCGCAGCTGTTTTATATTTTAGCTTTTCATGTTGTGTAGTCTGTGTTTGTTGCCCATATTAAAACTAGACAATTGCTTGTGACTCTTTAAACTCACGAAGATCTTCACAAGGGACTTTCTTGAATCATGCCCTACCTTGCTTTCTCTGTGGTGCAAACCAGAATCTTTTCCAGCAGTTGCTGTGGTTTTCTTTTCTTCACTGTCCCCAGGATTGGCTTTTCTGGGATAAATGTACAGTGACAGCAAGAATGGGACTCGTTTTACTAACACTTTCCATTAACGAGGTGTCCTCTTCATAGTGGAAAACAGTAGAAAAAATACTGAACCACAAATGAAAGTACTACCTGTTATTTATACGCCGAGCACTTTTTATTATTTAACATTGTAATAGTCTCTTAGTTCTCCTGGACCTTAGTTTCATTATGTACATAATGTGAGAAGACAAAGTAATTAATCTTTAAAGTCATTTTCAGCTACAACCACTAAGATTTTTCTCACTGATCAAGCAGGCATAAGGGCTTTTATGTGTTGAATGAGTGGCAAGGAAATCAAAGGAGGTTTATGGAACATTCTGGACAGACTACCGCTCACTACTGAGACACCAGTGGTCTAGATGGACAGCACCCAGCCCCTGCACGAGGGGGAAAAGGGTGTTGAAGGAGACACTAGTTCCGCCCCACATTTTAGCGCGTAAATACACAAGGCTATGACACCATCTCGCAGACTCAGCTTTCCGAAGAGGGCCTTCTGTGGTCGACAGTCAGTGTCAGAAGGAAGCCCTGTGGTCACTCGCTGCTGTCCATCAAAACTTCCACCAGGCAAGCTGCTTTCAATGAGAAAGAGTCACAGGTGAAGAAGTGAACTCACTGTTGCTCTGTGCATACTGCACTGAATGTACAGTTTATAGAAGGGACATGTATACAGTTATGACATAATTGGAGGCCAAATAGTCAAGAGGAAAATAATCTGAAAATTACTTTACATAGGTGTATATAAGCAGTAATCCATGAAAAGGGCAGTTGCTAGCCTTCACTGGGGACAGGAGCTTTATTACTCTTTTGTTTTATTCCCTTAAACCTACACTCATTCTCTCTGTGTCACTTTCACTCTACATAGTTATATATAAATCTACTGTACAGTGTCTGTGTTTTGTCATCGGAATACTGCTAACTAATGAGAGAAAATAGGTATACATAGTTACAGACAATGAAGAAATAGAAAGATTCCCAGGAGTATAAGGGGCTTATGGGTTTGCAAAATTTACCAGGTAGAGGGCTGGCAAGATTGCTCAGCAGACTAAAGTGCCTGCTTAGCCAAGCTTAAGCAATCTGTGCAGGCTGTGGCTGGATCCTCGGCATCACGTGCCATGGCAGCCCTGCCCCCAGTGCAGGGAGCGGGCCAGAGTTTGGGCGCGATGGTGCAAGCCTGTAATCCCAGCACTGGGGAGGCTGATCGCAAGGGGATTGACACGAGCCTCAGCTGTGTAGTGAAACCCTGCAACAACCAAATAATAATGATTAAAAAAGAAATCACCAGGTAGAAAGAAGAACAGCATGGGGCTGGAGAGATGGCTCAGTGGTCTAAAGCACCTGCTTAGAACAAGCTTGGCAAAGCACAGGGACCGCGGTTCAATCCCCCAGCACCACATGCCAGCCAGCCCCGCCCCCAGGCAGGCTGAGCTGGCCACACACACACACACACACACACACACACACACACACACACTAAATGTAAAAAAAATGATATAAAAAAGAAAGAAGAACAGCATAGTCTCCAATACGTTAGACATACTAAGATCTTTTTGAAGAAAGCATTTTAGGAAATACTTTAGGAAACAATACTTTTGGTTTTAGACATGAAGCTTAAGTCTTATTGGTTACAATGAAATGCTAATTCAGAAGGATGAGCAGATAGGGTAGACCCAAAAAAATCTGTCAGACCAAACAGAGAGCGCCATGGGAGAGGTAAAAATCAGAAGGATGGGAAGAAGACAAAGTGTCTCTAGAAAACGGGGCCTTCCCAGTGCTACCAAGACCTGAATGCAAGGGTTTCTATGGAGCGCTCGTAGGGTTCTTTTAGGTCAGTTCTGACTTGCCATGTGGGAAGATGATCAACTTAAAGTCTACATGTAAAATTCTCAGTTTTTAAAAGTTTGTATAGGAATCATAGAAACCTGAAGGAGACTGTCATAGCCAAAATTCTGTTGTTGACTGGTACAGTGTTGCTGGGCGTGCATTGCATTGGTACCATATTTATTCATGGCTGGCAGCTAAAGTCAGACATGGGAAAGAACTGGCTGGTAAGAAATCGCAAGCATGAACAGGAGAAACTTCCATGGCTGCAATTCTTCCTTTAATTCTCAGAACATGTCTTAAAAACTACACAATTAGAGATAGTTTTAAAAGTCCTTCAGGGCTGGGGAGATAGCTCAGCGGTCTAAGCGCCTGTCTGGCAAGCACAAGGACCTGGTTTGATTCCCAGTACTGCATGCTGTGCCAGCCCGGGAACCCCAGGTGTGCCATGCGAGCCACAGAACCTGGATGGTGGAGCACGCCAGTAATCCTAGAGCTGGGGAGGCTGAGACAGGAGGATCACTAGAGCTGCACAGTGAGACTCTGTACCAAATAAATAAATATCTTTCAATATAAACATCAATTTTTAGAAAAAGTCATCATGGTAGGTCGAGGTTGGTGGCTATGTTATTCTGAACTGTTTCAGGGACAGGTTCTCCGCATGTTACAGAAACAGTCATTGCAGTCAAAGTGCATGGAGCTGGGTTTAGGGACATTTTGGCTTGCTTTGGGATTATTCAGCTTTCTTTGGTTTGCGAGCTCAGCAGTCTGCAATTATGAAAGACACGTAAGTTCTTACATCTAACAATACGCTGCCTGAGAACTGTTCGTCTGTGAAAGTCCTGGTAACGCAAATAGATAAAACGGAGTCACGCTTCAGCCGAAAGCTACTCTCCTCAACCACCACGCAAAGCGATGGATGCTTAAGACTTACAGAACCACAATTACGTCATAGCTCTGTGAATTAGAAGCTAGCAGTTCCTTCTGATTGCACCAGGGAACTGGGGTGGCCCGGCAGACACAGGAGCGCGTCCTCGGGTCGCACGGGGTGGCGGCGCGGCGGCGGGCGGAGGTGCGCGGGCGGGCGGCAGCTGGGCGTGTGTGCTGGGGCCTGGCGGCTCGGGGCAGCCAGGACGCGGGAGGAGCCTCTCCAGGCGGCCGGCCTTGCTGCAGAAGGAGAAGGCGCCCTTCACCGCGCTGTCTTGGTGGTACAGCTTGATTTCTGAGGACATTTACCAGTAATGTCACGTTGCTGATGTAGGGTGGCGTCGAAGCCTGCCTGCTCCGTGAGCACGCGTGCACTGGCGTGTGCGGGTGTGTGTGCTAGTGCGCGCAGTTGCTGTGGCACACAGTATTAGGTATTATTAAATTATAGTATCTTTTAATAAATCAATTCCATTTCAAGTCAAATAACCCTTTTGGAGTGGTCAGTTTTCCAAGAACATAGTGCCTCTAATTTTTTTTTTTTTTTTTTTGATCTTTGAGGCAGTTTTGAAATTTTTTATTAGTGTTGTTTATTATTATTATTATTATTTTTATTTATTTGAGAGAGAGAGAGAGAGAGAGAGAGAGA